TAGTTAATTTATATAAGGGTTTGTCTTGTTGATTTTCTCAAAGAACCAACTCTTTGTTTCATTGATTCTTTGTATTGTCTCTTTGTTTTTATTTTATTATTTCCTGCCATCTACTCTTCTTAGGTATGTTTGCTTCTTTTTGTTCTGGAGCTTTTAAGTGTGCTGCTAAGTTGCTAATATGACATTGCTCCAATTTTTTATGTAAACACTTAGTGCCATGAACTTTCCTCTTAGCACTGCTTCCATTGTGTCCCATAAGTTTGGATATGTTGTGCATTTGTTTTCATTGAATTCTAGGAAGTCTTTAATTTCTTTTATTTCTGCTTTGACCCAGTAGTCATTCCGTAGGCAGTTGTTTGGTTTCCATGAGTCTGTAGGCTTTCTGTTATTTGTGTTGTTGAAATCCAGCTTTAATCTATGATGGTCTGATAGGATGCTGGAGGTTATTTCATTTTCTTGTATCTGTTGAGACTTGCCTTGTGACTGAGTATGTGATCAGTTTTGGAGAATGTTCCATGAGGTGCTAAGAAGAAGGTGTACTCTTTTGTTTGGGGGTGAAGTGTATCTGTTAGTTCCATTTGGTTCATAACATCTATCAGTTCCAGTATTTCTTTATTTAATTCTGTCTGAATGACCTGTCCATTGGTGAAAGTGATATATTGAAGTCTTCCACTATCAATATGTGAGGGTAGATATGTGACTTAAGCATTCATACTGTTACAAATGTGGTTGCTCTTGCATTCAGGGCATAGATGTTAAGAATTGAAAGATCATCTTTGTGGATTTTTCCTTTAATGATTATGAAGTGTCCTTCCCTGTCTCTTTTAATTAGTTTTGGTTTAAAGTCTATTTTGTTAGATAACAGCTTGTTTCTTAGTTCTAAGTTGCTTGGAAAATATTTTTCTGGCCCTTTACTCTGAAGTAACATCTGTCTTTGATGCTGAGGTGTGTTTCTTGTATTCAGCAGAAGGATGGATCTTGTTTCGCATCCATACTGTTAGCCTATGTCTCTTTATTTGGGGAATTGAGTACACTGACAATGACAAATGATTGTTAATTTCCATTATTTTGTTGTAGTTGGTGGTGATGGGAGAAAACGAGTTTGTGTGTTTCCCTTCTTTGGATTATGCTTGTGTGAGATTATTTATTTCCTGAGTTTTCATGAGTATAGCTAACCACCTAGGCTATGGTTTTCCTTCTAGTACCTTCTATAGGACTAGATTTGTGGATAGATGTTGTTTAAATTTGACTTTATTATAGATTATCTTGTTTTCTCCATCTACGGTGATTGAAAGTTTTGCTGAGTATAGTAATCTGTACTGGCATCCATGGTCTCTTAGAGTGTACAGGACATATGTTCAGGCCCTTCTGGCTTTTAGAATATCTATTGAGAAACCAAGTTTAGTTCTGATATATCTGACTTTGTATGTTACTTGGCCTTTCTCCTTTGCAGCTTTTAATATTCTTTCTTTGTTCTGTATGTTTAGTGTTTTGATTATTATGTGGCAATGGAACTTTCTTTTCTGATCCAGTCTATTTGGTATCCTACATGTTTCCTGTACCTTTATAGACATGCCCTTCTTTAGGTTAGGAAAATTTTCTTTCATGATTTTGTTGAATATATTTGCTGGGGCTTTGAGCAGGGATTCATCTCCTTCTATTCCTATTGTTCTAGTTTTGGTCTTTTCATAGTGTCCCAGGTTTCCTGGATGTCTTGTGTTAGGAATTCTTTATTAAATTTAAGATTTTCTTTGAAATAGATGTGTCTGCTTCTTTTACCATATCTTCAATGTCTGAGATTTTCTTTCCATATCTTACATTCTGTTGGCAATGCTTGCATCTGTAGTTCCTGTTCACTTACCTTTGTTTTCCATTTCCAGAATTCCCTCAGTTTATGTTTTCTTTATTGCTTCTATTTCCTTTTTCAAGTCTTGAACAATTTTATTAGTTTCCTTCATCTATTTGTACCCTCCTCCTTGGCTATCTTTAAGGGATGTATTCATTTCTTCCAAATTTTTGGTTGTTTTTTTTTTTGTTGTTGTTGTTTTGTTTTGTTTTGTATTTCTTTAAGAGATTTATTCCTTTCTATCATCTTCATCAAGTTGGTTTTAAGGTCATTTTTCTAGTGCTTCAGCTGTGGGTATTTTCAGGGCTTGCTGAGTAGGGTAACTGGGCTCTTGTGGTGACAGATTGTCTTAGCTGTTGTTGATTATGTTGTTACACTGGCTGGCATCTAGGCATCTGGGTTGAGGGTGATTATAGGTCTAGGTGCTGCTTTCTAAGTTTGTCTTTGTTGGATGGTTTCTTTGTTGGATTGTTCTTTGGTTTCTGTTTCCTCTTGGATGGAGTAACCTGTGGTTCAGTAGAAGGTCTCCATTCAACTTAGAAGCTGGACTTCTGATAGCTTGTGGGTTTCTACTCAAGTTGGGATCTGGAGTTCTGGCTGCCAGTGTGGCCTCTAGTCCAGCCATAGGTCCTCCACTGGAGTTGGGGATCATAATATGGTAACAAGGAGACGAGGGCAGTTGGGTTTTTGCTAGGGGGAGCACTGAGGGAGAGGGGGCGGTCTACAAGCAAAGGGCTTACCTGCGAGTCTGGTGGCATGCATGGCCCCTGGTGGGGCTTCCGAGAGAGTCATGGGTCAGGTTATGGTGACATGGAGAGGAGTGGCACTTGGGTGTAGCACCGAGGGAGTGAGGGAGGTCTGCAGACAGAGGGCTTACCTGGGGTTTTGTGTAAGTTTTTTTTTTAATTCAGAAATTATTTTTTAGAAAAAGATAACAGCTGAGTTCAGTGAGCACGAAGTGTGAACACAAAGTGTGACCTCGCAGCTTCCACCGTTAGCACTAACACTCTTGTTCCTGGTCACACACTCCCACTTTTCAAAGCAGATTCTAGAGTCACATGGTTTCATCTGGAATAGTTCAGTCTTACCTCCAAGGTCACACTCATCATTAAGTGGAACACCAACACTACTGTCATGTTCAAATACAATGCTACTGCACTATTACCAAACATAAGCGACATTCACATTCCCCAGCTAGTCATGGATGCTCACTCTTTATTTGGATCACGTTCCCTCTGAACGCATACACTGTCATTATATCTCTTCAGTGTCTGTTAGTCTTCGGCCCCTTCCCTTCCTCAGCTAATATTTCCCCTACAGTCTTAGCTGCAGATAGGGTCATATATTCGGCATTTTCATTGGTTTGGGTTTCTTTTTAACCTATCAGTCTAAATCATTCTCTCATTTTAATGACTAGAAACAAGTTAAGCATCTCTATGTTGTGAACTAAACATGCATGTTTTTGGAAGTCATCCCTGAATCTCCACATATGTCAAAGCAAAAGCACCTCCCTCCCTTTACCTCAGCACCACACATTTATCTACGAAATATTTTGAATCCATCTTCTCACTTTCTGTCAGTCTCTGGAAGATCTGACATGCTTATCTCATTGCACATGTGAGACATTATGGGAAGGTCAAAAGGAACATGTGCTGAATGTGGGTCACATGAACCCATTCTCCTGGAACAATACTAGTGGGATGCTCTGACCATCTCTATATCACACAGCATGTATTGTGTGCCCTGGCCAGAATATTCTGAGGAGCTAAAGAGAATGAGAAGGCTATGACCCTACTTTTAAAGAACTTAAACTCTAATCAGGTGTATACCATAGGGGGGGGGGGGAACCTGGTGCAGGGAATTTAAAACACCTGGAGGCAAATGATCATATAGGAGTAGCATAGTATGACCAGACAGCCTGTGCTGAGAGATACCCAGGGAACCAGCAGCAGGTACACAGAAGAGAAAGCAAGTGTGAACAGCACAGAGAATGAGGGGGAGAGGGAAGAAATGTTTAGCTTGCTTCCTGGTCTGCTTACCTTTGAGATCACATCTCTGCATCTTTGGGTGAATGTGTCAGTGGATACTTCATCTTTAGTCCACCCCTTCCTAGATCTCCCTTGTCTACTTCACCTCCCTGTGGCTAACAAGATATTTCCAAGCACTATATTGACACTTGCTCCAAAATCCAAAACTTTTGAGACTTTACATATAAGTGGAAATGTCCACCTCTGATCTCATGTGTTAGATTGCAATTAAAATGGGATACACTAAAAATATTACCTAAAATTTCCTGAAGGCTGTGCATATAAGATATATGAGAAATATAATGTTACATTTAGACTTAGGTAACATCCTTAAAATATTCACATATGTATGTATGTATGTATGTATGTATGTATGTTACCCCTCACCCAAAAATACCTCAAATCTGAAATGTTCCTGGTTCCCAGCATTTGGGACAAAGGGTGATCCAGAAAATTCGACATCTTGAGGTCCTATGGCCCCTGCAGCTGCAACTATTCATGTCACTATTACTAAGGACAAGGTCATTATGATTAAATGCATATAGCAGTATCTGCTGCCTAAGGGATGTCATATGTAAATGTTCACCAATAAAAGAAAAGAACAAGATATTTATTACATGTTTTCTGCATTCTGAGACCTATTGATTGCCATAGCCATTAATATTAATGACCACCCTAGAAGAAATAATCTTCCAGGAAAATGATCCCAGAAAGAAGTAACTTCTTTGACATCACAGGAGAGGTAGTGCATACCAAGAGTCTACCATGCCTAACTCTGCATTCAAAGGCCCTGCTCTAATTTTGGCTCCTCTGCCCATGACACCAGTTTTTAAGTTGTGTCCCGATGACGCTTGAAAGAGACGCATGCCCTCCAGGGAATCTCACTTGTGACCTGGATGTCATGTGCTAGAGTCACTGCTCAGAGGGATCCAAAGCCAGGGGCCTCATTCTTTTCCCCTTGCTTCACCTCTTCCCTAAGAAGTCATATGCTGTCCCTTAGAGGGTTAGCTGGCTGTACTGGCCTACACCCCAGTGCTGCCCAATCCAGGCTAAAATGGTAGTAGCAGGATATCAGCCATGCTAATTCCTGGAAGATACTTCAGGCCTAACCTGTGTGTTTCTTGCAGTCATGTTTCGTCTCTATGACTCTGATGAAAATGGACTCCTGGACCAAGTGGTAAGCTTTCACTTCCAATAAAGCCCTACGATTTGAGGAAGAGGAAAGACAACAGAACACAGTGATGGAAGCATCCAAACTCCCCAGTTCTATCCTGACAGGAAATGTGGGTCTGACTAAGGGATGCAGATTATGAGCAAAGTTCCTTCCTGCCGTGCCAAAGAGACAGCCCATAGAGCATGAACTTCAATTTTCCTTCTTCTGGACCTAAAAGCCTGGAACCACACCATCTTGGGATAGGGAGATATTTTCACATTTTCATCAAATGTAACTTCTCTACACACAGATTTCCTGAAATTTTCTTCTGGGACCCAGGGGTCAGGAGAAGGGGGGCAGGGAAGCAACAGGAACAGGGCAAGAGGAGAAGAGGAAAGTTCCTGGCGAGCTTCCGATCTACCCAAGCTTAGGAGCCTTCCCGGTCCTGTCTGTTCTGAACTCTGAACCCCCACCTCAGCCCTTCAGGAGGAGGCAATAACAGGTCAGGATCAGAAAGTGAGAGGAAGGCTAGAGAGGAAGAAAGTCCAAGAAAGAAAGAGGCCCTGGATCCAAGTCTTGTGGTCATGACTGACTGCCCAGGCTTATAAACAGTAAGGCTCTGAAACTGAAGTGTGTATGGCTGGCTGAAACCAGAAAAAGAAAGGAGGGAAAAGAGAGAGGGGGAGGATGGACAGAGGGAAGAAAGGAGAGAGGGACAGAAGGACACAGAAACAGGAAATAAATCCTCTAGGCCAATGAGCCATGCCAGCTCTCTCTGTCCTGGTCCCTTTGTGGTCTCTCCAGCATTGTTGCAATGGTGTGGGCTGTGGTCTTTGATGGGACAAACACAGACTCTGGCAGAACACAGCATATTTACTGAGGATCTCCATGATATCTGGTGCTACTCAGAGCACTGGGGATGCCTTATTGTAGCCAAATGGCAAAGTTCTTTTCCTTCTTGTAGCTTTCATTGTAGACCAGGCATCATTAGCAGCATACCTGTGGGTCTGGACATGGTGAGGCACACCTGTCATCTCAGCACTCAGGAAGCAGAGGTGGAAGAATCATTAGTACCTGTCTCAAAATAAAAGGGGCTGGGGTGGGGCTGGGAATATAGCTCAGCGATAGAGCATTTGCCTAGCCTAAGCCCTCGATTCAGTCCTAGCATTGCAAAAAATAAAACTGTAAGTATAAAATACATATATATACTTGCACGCATATTGGGTAGATGTCTACAAAAAAAAATAAAGGAAGTAGGAAACGTTGGAGGGAGTTGCTGCCTTCAGAAGGGTTGTCAAGGAAGGCATGCCTGGGGAAGCGACATCAGAACAGAGACTTGGAGGTGATATGGAGGCCAAGAGCCCTCTAGGTAGAGAACACTGAGTGCAAAGACCCTGGTGTGTGCCCAGGATGCTGGGGGACTAAGTGGAAACTGGGATGGCTAGAGAGGAGCAAGTGAACGAATAGAGTGAAGAACCAAGGAGACCATAGACAGCATGCGTGAGTGGGGGCTGGGCGCCAAGCACGTGAGGTTTTACTGGGAATTGAAAGGGTTTCCTTTAACCCCTAGAGAAATGAGGAGACACCCAAAGTCATGAGAAGTGACATACTTGGATGTCTCAAGCACGCTCTAGAGACCACATCAAGTAAGCTACAAGCAGGTACACCAGACAGAGACCCTAAGGAAATGATCAGGGCACAAAGCAATGGTAATCTTGGACATGATAGGAGTACTGCAGGTGGTAACTGGTTCAATCCAGAATATATTTTAAAGATAAAGTTGGGGGACAGAAACAAGTCTCAAAAGCATCCGCTGACTTGACTTCACCCCTAGAATCCCTGGTTGGTGAGGTCCCAGCTCCTTTGTGAACACTCTCCATGACTAAGAAGCCACTCCTCCATAATAGCTGTCCCACTGCTGGGAAGGAGCTGGACAGGGCTTCCTGGCTGCATGCCAGGCATGAATTTGCCAGACAACACACAACACACTGCTATGCCCTCCTTCCCCAACCCAGGAGGGAATCAAAATAGGCTAACTGTCCCATTGTCCCTTACATCCCTCCACTTCCTGACACCCTCGCCACTAACCAGGACAAGGGAAACACAAACTACACAATGGCCTTGTATTCAAAAGTGCCATCAAACCCTACACAAAGTTTCCCCCAACCCAAGGGGGCCCCATTCTGTATTGTTTCTCATTGGCTGTTTTAAATACACACAATGGACAAATTCCAGCTTGTCAACACCATTACTAAGACACAGCTTACAATAGACCCAGCCCATCCATCTCTTTACATATAGATGTGGCCTGGCCAGGGTAGAAGAGGACCTACTTCTTCCTGAAGCTAGACCATTCTGTTTCTATTTGCACATGAGTCTGGTGCTCAGTTCCTGAACCCTAGGAGACTCACAAACTTTTCCACTGAAACATTGTACCCACTTCACTGTACTCATTCACTGCCTCTTCCTGTAGTTTTGCTGTGGGCTACTGTTTCCCTTTAAGCAAAGTACTATTTGTAAGAGACTGAAGGATGAGGATCACAAGTTCACATCCGGCATGAGATGGAAGAGGGGATGGAAAGGGAGAGAGTGAGACAGAGACAGAGACACATGCAGAGAGAATATATATCTGTGTCTGGGGTTGCAGAGATGACTCAGGAGCTAAGGATGACTACTGTTCAGTTCCTAGCACTCATGCTTGGTAGCTCACAATCACCTCACTTGCAGCTCCAGAGGATCTGATGGTCTTTTCTGGTCTCTGCAGGAACCTGTACTCACATGTGTACCACACAGACACATACACACAGAATTAAATATAAAATATATCTTAAAAATAAAATAGCTGCTAAGGCTTAGCTTGCTTGACTTAACCCTAAATTCTGCATGATGGAAATAACACTTTCCAGTCTTTCTTTACATTGCCCACACAATCTCCTAAAACAATCTTATTGTGAACACCTTAGGTGGTAATCCATACATGAGATGCTAACGTAATCCATACTAACTGTAATCCACACATAAGATGCTAACTGACACTGAATACTTCTCCAGCACAGTGTTTCTATGGGTCCCTCTATGCATTGACTCACCAGCATCTGGCACATTGGTAACATTTTCGGTAGAGGTGGGTCTTGATGCCAAAGGGGTAATCCATCAGGCAAATAAGGCCTTAAAATTTCCCTATTCACCAAATTCTAGGCTCAGGGTTGACTATAATGCAAAGGAAAGAAGAGATGCCAGAATAAATGTAAATCACAGTGCTTGAGCCAAGACCAACACAGATGTGAACCTGACTCCAAAGGCAGACAGATCCCTGGCTGCTAAGATGTGGGGATGAGAGCAAGTGATAAGAACAGCAAAGAGAGGCCTGTCTTCACCTGCATTTACAGAAGTTATAGAAGAAAAGGAGAGGAGGGAAAGGAAAGGAGAGAGGGAGGGAAAGGAAGGAAGGAGGGAGGGAGGGAAGAAAGGAAGGAAGGAAGGAAGGAAGGAAGGAAGGAAGGAAGGAAGGATAAAAACAAGATTCAAGATTCCCTCTGGTTTTCAGGTCAAAGGACAGAATGATGGGGGGGGGGGACTTGGAGTCAGTGCTCCAGGTGCTCTGTGTAGCTCTGGCTTTCACATGCTCTGTAAGTATCTACTGTCCACTGGCCTTGGTGGTCAATACAAAAGAAACCCCTGTCCTTGGGGGATGCCAGTGCATCGCATCAGCATTTCCTCATGCCCCGCCCTGCCCACCTGCCCACCAGGTTTGATTTGGAGTCTTGCTCTTATTGTAATTAAAACCAAAACAAACAACAAACTTAGGGTTTCTCCCTTTGATGTTTTCCTCCTGATATTTTCTAGGAGATGGATCAGATTGTGAACCAAATGCTGCATATTGCCCAGTACCTGAGTGGGATCCCACTGAGCTCAGGCCTGTGAGTTTCTGTAAACGTAGTCCACTCCATAGAGAGCCTCCTGGGAGAGAGTGGGGCACACCTGGGATGTGGGTGCAATGGTTGGATGCTTGCTGTGTGGTGCCCTCAGACCATCTTCCCAGCAGCTTCTTTGCAGCCCTGCACTTTGCCCTCCCATTTCTCCAACAGGAAAAATGCTTAAAGCAGCAGAAGGAAGTCTAGACATGGTAGAAACCGCAGCTTCCGCACCCTTCTGCCAGGGGCACTTTTATAACAGGAATCCATAAATTAGAGCCGAAACAATTTGGGGGAAATTGTCAATCATCAGCTGCTAATGTTAGCTGCGCTGGTGCATGCTTCATACCAGGCATTAGACTCACCACTCTTGATGGGTTTCCTCACATCCTTGCTACAATGCTGTGAATACAGCAGTATTATTTCCGTTTTAAGAGAAGCAACCCAGAGCACAGAGAGCTAGAGTGAGCCACCTAAGGTCGGGGCCGGGCAGAGCTGGACTTAGAACCCTGGTGTCCACAATGCTCGGTCCTTTGCCACTTTACTCACTCTGAATAAGAGGGGAAATGGAAGAGCAGAGGTAATATAACACAGGACCAAAGGGAAAGCAGAGGCATCCAGAAATGAACAATTTTCCTTTGGGATCCCACAGATACTGGAAAAGAGGATGTTGCAAGGAATGGACTACGACAAGGATGGTTTTAGGTTCTGCCAGGAGTGGGTCCATGGGGGGATGACCACCATCCCATTGCTGGTCCTCCTGGAATGGATGACTCTGTAAGTCAGTAATCTTATGTTCAATAGCTCTGGATTCCGTATTGTTGCTAGTGTCTGCTCCAGGCTTCCTGATGGGCAAGCCATGCGCCTCCAGGCTGGTTCCAGTATGCTCTGTATTTTCATCCCTTTGCTTGTTCATGCCCCAAGTATATTCTCTCACCTGGAAAAACCTTTGATGTACTATTATTAAGGGATTCTTTTGTGTGCGCACACTGTAAGAGAACACCAAGCACTTACCTGCAAGACACATACTCCACCAGGCAAAAGAAATGTAAAGGAGAATCTCATGTTTTCACCAAGTTAGCTTTTAAGATGCTAGAGAAGACCAGGATGGCTCTGCACATAAAGGTACTAACCACTAAGACTGATAACCTGGTTCAATTCTCAGAACCCGCATGGCAAAAGAAAAGAATTAACTTCCTTCATCTGACCTCTACCTGCTC